AGATTACGAGTGAATTTGAATTGGATATTTACGTTACTGAAAAATGGATTGACCCATCGCTAGCATACGACCACTTGAACCCTTGCAAAAAGTTGATATCATCACATTCATTCTTCGCAATATTTTTAAGCACAATTTGGATGCACTCAAACTCTGTTTTCCTTTTTTCTTCGACACACTGATTATTTTTATGATTGCTTTTAGTATCTTATTTTATTTTCAGAGTTTTGCTATTTATGAAAATTAAATTAATAAATATATCAGTTAGACACGCACGTAAAAAATTATTTTAGCAATATGTCAGTTGACGGCGGTGTAATTTTGCCTCAAATTTGGAGCCCTCATGCGTGTTTTGTAAATAGTAAAGATGCGTCAATACATCGTAGTCCTTTCAGCAATATTTTCTTGCAAATTTATAGTGATGGCGAAGTATGGCATAATTACAGGTTTTTCATCTTACAAATTAACAAAATTAATTAGTTTTTTGAAATTATTCGATGTTAATAAAATTTTCGCATTAATTCAACAGGTAACATTTAAGGATAAATAATATTTGTAAATAGTTACTACAATCAAAATTACAAGATATCATTTGTCAAATTATTGTAATTTGATTTTTGTACTAAAATCTCTTCGTTCACTTTAGTTTATATGCATACTTTTGAATAATTTAATTTTTTCTGACATACAATATTTTATGGAAAAAAAAGAAGTTTAGAATCAAATTAACGGGTCCGTGTTCTAATGCACTGCGTACATTTCCCATAGATAAGCAGCGTTGTATGCTCTTCTATGAATCTTTTAATCACAATTATAATCAGGTATGATTTTGTCCAACATCAGTTACTTACAGAAACTTTACAAATTGTCTCAGTAGCATCATAATCTTTTTATGCTTATTCAACTGAAAACTATTATTTTTATGACAATTCAATTCAGCTTTAAACTATCTCAAAAATAACTGCGCATCGTTTTCAGAAATTTTATTAGCCGTGTAGTGTTAAGAAACAAAATTTGTAAAATATAATTCTTGTTTAAGATTCTTTTATTCAGTTCAAGAAGGCATTCAGTCTCAAGAGTGAAGATTTTTTTTT